GGGGGGGGGGGTAGTCATTGTAACATGGTCTCTTAATCTGGTGTTTAACAGTCTTGCACATCCTCTTTTTCCAGGAGAAAGATATCTTAAGGAAATTGAAGTTTCGCCTTAATGCAGCAACTCCTTATGTCTTCATGCTAAGGCTTCTTAAGGCTGCTCAAGCAGACACAAGGGTAGGGAAATTTTGTTTTTGGACTAGTATTAAAAAAGTATGATATAAGTAATAACAAAGAAGGGGAGCCTTGGAGCAACGATAAAGTTGTCTCAGTATGACCTATAGTTCACGTGTTCGAGCCGTGGAAGCATCCACTAATGCTTACGGCTGTCTACATCACACCCTTGGGGTGCGGCCCTGCCCCGGACGCTGCGTGAATGGGGGATGCCTTGTGCACCATGCTGCCATAAGTAATAATAAAGTCCCCTTATCTCAACTTCGTATGATCAGTTCAGTGTCGGAACAATACTTGAAAAATGTATGGATTTTTGTTTGTTGCCCCACCTGGCAATTTTTTGAATCCAGTTAATACTTCTGCAGATGTGCTGAGTGTTATTCGTATGAGCTATAAAATTTCTCACTCACGCAACTAACGTGTTTCTGCATTTCTGAATCTTCTGCTAGTTTGAACATCTGGCATTTTACCTCATCGAGTTGTGCTTGGTTGAATACGAAGCTTTGAACTACAAGCCATCCATGCTTTGTGCATCAGCTATTTATGTGGCAAGATGTACGATGCAAATGACGCCAGCCTGGACACCACTGCTGGGGATTCATGGACGTTATCAAGAATCCCAATTCAGGCATATTTCTGCATAGTATTTGTCGCTCTTTGCTCCTTGCAATCTACTGATATATAATCTCTTTGGATGTTCGCAGACATTGTGCGGAAATGATCTTGAGGTTTCACAAAGCTGCAAGCACAGCACTTTTGAAAGTCACGCATGAGAAATATATGCAGTCCAGTAACAGCAAAGTTGCTGCTATAAAACCTTTGCAGAGTCTCCCTTAAGTATATATCTCTGCTGAGTTCAGTTTTCTGGAAGTGCAGAAACATCTGAGGAACTCAAAAGAGATGTGAGCTTCCCTGTCAGAGACTTGTATTCTCAATGTAATAGTTATTTTTCATAGGCTAAATATATTGCTTGGGTTGCATTGGATTTTCTTGCAGGTGCTGTAAATCTGTGTTGATCACAACTCTTTTTAATGGCTTCTGGAAGTTGAGCTTGGTCTTCAATCCTTGTAAATCGACCATAGGGGGTTCTCTTAACTATAAGACATTTAGTTTCCCTTTAGTAGTCCCAGGGGAAGGTAAGCCCACTTTTTTATGGCAGCGGAAATCATTCTCTAGCTTCCAGGGAAGCTGAAAATGGGCTCTAGTTCTATTAATAGAGATGGTAGATTAGAGCCTCCTGTGTTCATCACTATACGAATTTTAAGGACATCTTTTTGCAAACGAACTGTTGATACGTGATTCTCGCGCGTTGGAAAGAATGGATTAATTGCTTATGCAATCCCTCTGTTACATCTGCTGATTTTTGTTGTGCAAGTGCTTTTATTTCTGGAAAAATTAAAAATAAAACTTTACTGTAAAAATATAGATCTTCACCTTATACAACTCTCTCGGGGGTACAAAAGCCGCACGTTACACGGAAGAGCAATAAGTATTCATCTTTGAGATAGCACTGGTCAACTAAAAACCAATAAAACTCAAGAGATAACACTGTTTTCTCCACTAGATAACCAAGCTTAAGATTTTCTTCGTAGTTAAGATCAATATGAGAAACGTTTACTAGTGGAGAAAACAGTGATGGTCTCATTTAGGGGTGTACAAAAAAATCGATAAATCGTACCAACTCGATAATCCGAGTTAAATGGAGAAAAAAATTTGGATTGTGGTTTGGTTTGATTTGGTTTGGTGTTAGAAAAAACAATCAGTGATGGTCTCATCTACCGGTCCAGCATAATATGCTGGAAGTTTATACACAGGTGCTCCAATCTCCAGTATATTATGTTGGAACTCCAGGTGCACCAATCTCCAGTATATTATGCTGAACCGGTCCGTATTGCAGCAAAATAATAGCTATTTTTCAATGACTTTGCAAACGCTGACTATTTTTGAATTACCAGTCCGAAAACTGACTAGCCCGTGCTATTTTTACAAAAATAACAGAAAGAAATGACCCAAAAAAAAAACAAAGAACAGAAACATAAAAGAAAGAGAAGACCAAAAAAAAAAAAGGAAAAAAAGAGAATCAAGAAAACGGGAACCAAAATAGAAAAGAAAGAAAAGGAAAAAAAACAGAAAAGAATGAGACGACAAAGGAGAAAAATAGACAAACAGAAAACCGGGACTTTACCAAAATAATAGGGCAGTGATTCGATCCCTTGACCAAGTAATCAATGGTGCAGGCGTGCATGCGCCATTGAGCATGGGTTCACGCATAACAAAATTTATATGATTCCCAGTAAAACTGCAATTCTATTCACTCTATAAGGAGGGGGTGCATGGGCTCCAGGGCCGGCTCTAAGGCTTTGAGTAGTGAGGCCATTGCCTTAGGCTCCTAAATTTTGAAGGTCCCAAATTTATTTTAAATTCTTATTATTATTAATAATATTATATATTATATAATATATATAAATAATTAGAATAAAAAAAGTGTTACAGTATATTTTTTGTTATTTGATTGAAGTTATTTTATACAATAAATTTATAAATTATGATAATTTTCTTCCCTCATTAATTAGTATATTTGACAAGAGTGTGTTGCTCTAGTGGTGAGCACCCTCCACTTCCAACCAAGAGGTTGTGAGTTCGAGTCACCCCAAGAGCAAGGTGGGGAGTTCTTGGAGGGAGGGAGCCGAGGATCTATCGGAAACAACTTCTCTACTCCAGAGTAGGGGTAAGGTCTGCGTACAAACTACTCTCCCCAGATCCCACTAGTGAGATTATACTGGGATTAAGGGCCTCCGAATATGGTTTCGCCTTAGGCCTCGAGATCTGTTGAGCCGCCCCTGATAGGCTCACATGCAGGGGCGGATCTATGTAGAAGGTTCGGGGTGGTATGCCACCCGGACGCTCGGGTAAAATTTTGAGCGTGTATATATATATTTTGGTATTTTACAAACATGTCATTATATATTATATGGATGGCACCCGGACTTGTTATGTTGGCTCTAGGTGCCATGGTTGAAAGCCCACATTCCAAATTTCACATTCAAGATCGAATCCTTGTTATTCCTTTTTCTTTCTGCTCCTTTTCTTAATTTCTTGTATTTCTTCATCTTTTGATTTCCTTTCTTAGTACAACCACTTTGTTATTTATTCAATAATATATTTGCTTCTTTTTCTTTGCATAGATCTTCAATATTTTATTTGAATGTGATTTTAATATTTTCTCTTTTTATCCATATATTTTTATTGTTTTCATGATTTCAAAAATCTTTTATAATGATGGCATCAATAGACATATAAGGAGTGCATTTGATAATTTATAATTTTATTTGAATTTTGTGCATCTAATCATATCATTCCATAGAGTCAGAGAATTAGATCGAATTGGGCAAAATTTATTCGGTTTGACGATCATACATTTATTTATGTACCAAAAAATCTTATAAATCGAATCGAATTAATTCAAAATAGATTGAACCAAACCGAAGTAAACCGAATTAGTTCGAAGTGGATCAAACCAACAAAATGTACATCCTAATTCAATCTCTTTCCCTAATGGTAGGTTTGCATTAAAAAGTGGCACCCGTAGACATCAAATCCTGGATCCGCCTCTGCTCACATGACCCATACCCCTCCATGTAAATCCGCCTGTGCATTTACGTAAAATAGTCGGAACTGCTAAGCCTAAATTTGACGTAGCATGAAATAAAAAGGGGGCTCGAGCCACCTGAGCGTGAGGAAGGCCTAGCTCCTAGATCCTGAAGAAATAAGGAGAACGAAGGAGACGGGTGAATGATCGGAGTTTGTCACAAAAATTGGGGCAATAGGTAAGCCATCTTTTATTGGCTATGAATTCTCCGTATATCTTTAACCAGCCAAATACTAAATTTTAAATATTTGCAAATAGATCAAAAATTAAAAGAAAAATTGATCGAAGTATAAATGAGGATAATTTTAAATCAATAAAAATAGAGAGGTAAATTTGGACTATTTCTCGAAATAGCTTCACACGGAAAATTCATTATGCCAAGCTTTTGAGCATGTCCGAAGTTGCTCCGTCCATAATAGATCTCGGTTAAGATCAAGATCAAGTACGAAACGATTTGCTAACGACAAAGATATCATTAATGCACTGAAGTTTACAATCAGTACTTAGTTCTTACACAATTTTCCTATCATTCTTTTTTGAATTAACATCTCTTTTGTAGAATCCAGATTTTTTATTCATGTTTGTAGTTGCCTTATATTTTCTTTTAATCAAGATCAACTTGATCTTCAATCTACTTTAATGAAATCTAAAATCTCATTTCCACCCCTTATTTCATCCAAATCAATCCTAAAGCTACAAAAGGATTTGTTTAATCAATACTTAGGTCTCCTTATTCTATTACTAGTCCTATGGTACTCATTTTGCTCGTGTCATGTTAGTGACTATAAAACTTTTTAAACGAATATATAAACATTATTAAATACTATTTTGTATTACAAGAATAAAAAAAATATATAAATTCCTAAAAATGAGAAATGTTGATCCTTCTGCCTCAAGTGCTTCAGAGTACACGTGGTGTCACGACCCGGAATCCCAACCTCGGGGTCGTGATGGTGCCTAACATCCACTTGCTAGGCAAGCCGACGTGAAATAATTAAATAACCAATTTTAACAGTTAGAAACACAATGATGATATACAACGAGAAATAGAAACCTAGTCTAACACAGTACTGATATAAATCACGTGATAATATCTACTTCCAGAAATCTGGAGTCACGAGTACACGAGCAACTAGAAGTCTACAAATAAAGTCTAAAATAAATACAACTATTTCGAAGGAAATGAATAGTAAAAGTGGGAAAGGAAGAGGACTTCAAGGTCTGCAGACGCCAGCAGATCTACCTCGAGTCTCCTTATGCAATGATCCGAGTTGACGCACCTAACGCACAGCTGGGACCAATACCAATATCTGTACAAGAAGTGCAGAAGTGTAGTATGAGCACAACTGACCCAATGTACTCCGTAAGTGTCGATCCTAACCTCGACGAGGTAGTGGCGAGGCTTTGACAAGACACCTACGTAAATAAACATGTACAAGTGTATATAAAGCAACAACAATAAACTAAGAATGATAACATACAAACTGGGATGGGACATGCAAAAGGGGGCAAAAATAACAGTCGCGACTGGTATGAAATCACGAAATAGCCAAGTAAATCATCAACCAATGAAATCAGATAAACCAATGATATGAAAATGGCACGGCATCACCCTTCGTGCTTTTACTCTCGTCCTTACCATGAATTGATGATATAAGTAAAATGAAATGGCACGACATCACCCTTCATGCTTTTACTCTCATCCTCACCATGCAATAATGAATAAATGATATGAATGGCACGATATCATCCTTCATGCTTTTACTCTCTTCCTCACTATGTAATAATGAATAAATGGCATGACATCACCCTTCGTGCTTTTACCATTGTTCCTACCATGTGATAATAATAATGTAAATGATACGGCATCACCCTTCATGCTTTTACTCTCTTCCTCACCATATAATGATAATAATATGAATTCGAGTAATAAATAATTCGAATAATGTATTTAACGTCAAATATGATAAGATACCAAAATTCAACTTACAGAAATATTTGCTAATTATAAAAGGCAATAATTATGAAACGAATAATCAAAGAAATAATAATCTAACCTAAATATGGATATCATAACTAACAAAGCAATAAAATACAAGGAAACAAGTTCCACCCGCATGCTTTAACACAATAACAATGCATAAGTACTCATCACCTCACATATACGTTGATCCCACACATAAAATACGTAGCAAATATACTAACATGTCCTAATCCCTCAAGTCAAGGTTAATCACGATACTTACCTCACTCCGCAATCTAATCAAAACTCAATCGAGGCTTTTCTTCTAAAATTCGCCTCCAAACCAATCGAATCTAACCAAAATTGACTTAATATCATCAAACAATGCTAGGAAAATTAATTACAAAAGATAAAGCTAAGATCTTTACATTTTTCCTAAAAAGTCAACAAAAGTCAACTCCGAGGCCCGTCCGATCAAAACCTAGGTCCAATGGTAGATTCCGACTACCCATGAACCCACTAGTTCATATATGCGATTAGTTGCAAAATCCGAGTTCAAATCGGCTCTCAAAACTCAATTTCTTATTTTTCAAAAACTTTACAAGGTTTCACAATTTTTCACTTTGATTCACATGATTTTGATGTTAAAATCTAACATATATTGATGGAATATGATTAGAAAGAGATTAGAATCACTTACCCAAAGTTTGTTGATGAAAACCCCCTC